TAGTAAATCGGACGACTTAAAGCAGACATAATTTGCCTTCCCTAAGTATTTATTAAATTTCCTTCACTACACAGTCACTTTGAAATGTAAGGCATCCCTGACATATAAGGTAGGCAATTACTCACCAGCAGAACCAGTCTTTGTTATCCTGAGACAGCTGAATGCGCACCCCTATAATTAGCGAGAGAAAAGGACCTTCACCTTCCAGTTTTCATTAGGAAAACACAACTTTTGGTGGCTGCCTTATCTAGCCCAGCAAATCCAACTAGTGTTTAAACCAACCATGTGATTTTTTTTCCAAACCACGGAAACTCAAGTAATTGCTAGAGGGAAGGTGGGAAAGCAAACCAAAGAGGGAAAAGTCTGACGTTCACAATCCGGGGTCACGGGCGTAGTGCAACCTTTCGGACAGATTAAAGGCCAATGGACAGAGCAGAGTGGTTTCAGGAATCCAGGAGCATGGAGTCTCTGAGCATCCTCTGTGGAAAGAGAAATTCCACATGGCCGGGAAGGGAAACATGTGTTTGTGTGTTCATGCGTGTGCTTACACACGTGACACACGTGTCTGGGACAAAATTGAGTAAGACAGAGGGGTTCGTTTTTCCCTCCTTCCCACTCTTCTTTTAGCAAAAGAAGAGAAGAGTTGAGATTGAGACTGGACCATCCTTTGCTGAGGACGTAGACTGATAGAACAAGGTCCTGACCGAGTAACCACAGCCCCCAGACCCACTGACCCTGGGGCCACAGCGGCCACCCCCTTCAGAGCTCCTCTCCATTTGGTCCCCTCTGTCCTCCCGCACAGAATGTTCCAGCCAGCACAGCGTCCCCACTCCCTCTCCGGAGTGGCTTCCCTCTCCTTTCCTGAAGCAGAAACTCCAGCCCGTTCAGCTCCCCAGTCCCCTGGGTGTTGCTCTCCCTGTAGTGGGAATGCCAGCTCTGCACAGTAGGAAGGGGTGGGTGGAAAAGGCATTGCAGAGCGGGAGTCACGGCCATGGTTAGAACTACCGTTTTCCCAGTGCTTCCTGGATGCGAAGCTCTTCCCACTTGTCCATTAAGCCCACACAACAGTTTGATGAGGGGAGTGGTGGTGTTTTCATTTCACAGAAGAAACGGAAGCCCAGAGAGCTTGCGTCACTTGCTGCCAACCGCAGGGGATCCGGGATCCTCAGCTAGCCAGCCCCAAAGCCCATGCCTTTCCTCTCCCCTTGGGGCAGTAGCTGGCTCTCTCTGGAGGCATCTGTATTTGAATGGTGGTCTCTTCCATTTCTAGGACACTACAGTGTGCAAAGCTGGCTGTGTGTTTCCCTGGAGCCTCCCAGTCACGGGGCAGGGTGACTTCCACCCTGTCCAAGGTCCAGGAGGCTTAGTGACTTGGGTGTAGGTTATGGGGGAAGAAAACTGGCCTCAGCTCCAGAACGCTGCTCTGATGAGTCTGGGCCGGGTGTATCACTCCCCTTTCTAAAACTAGCAAATCTTCCCGATGCCATATCTTGCAAAGCCAACAGGGGACGCCTCCATTCACCTCCGCACCTGTATCTTACACCACCCCCTCCCTGCCACTCCTCTCCCTTCAGCTGCACTGGTCTCATCTTAGCCCTTGACTTTTCTACAATGCCTCCCACCTGAGGGCCTCATACATGTGGTCCCTTCCAACCAGGACCCTCTTTTCTGTGTCTTCCCTTGAACTTGAAGAAAAGAGAAATCTCAGGTCAGCTATACCCACCCCCTGTTTTGGTTTGTTTTTTTCTTTGTTTGGATCACAATGAGTAATTACATAGTTAAGGCATTATTCACATTCTCTGGTAGAATATATAAAGGAGATGCTTTTGAATCATTTCCTTTGTTATTTTTTTTTAAGATTTTATCTATTTATTTGACAGACAGATCACAAGCAGGCGGAGAGGCAGGCAGAGAAAGAGGGGGAAGCAGGCTCCTTGCCGAGCAGAGAGCCCAATGTGGGACTCCATCTAAGGACCCTGAGATCATGACCTGAGCTGAAGGCAGGGGCTTAATCCACTGAGTCACCCTGGCGTCCCTCCTTTGTTATTTTTGACATCGACAAATTCCTAATGGGGATCTAGTAAGGAGGAAGGCCCAGGAACAGGGGAAGGGGGGATACAGAGATGAAGATGTCATGGCTGTTGCCTTCGGAAAGCGTGCCAGCAAGGGAAAAGTGATCTTGTACGAGCAACTGTGACTACAGGGCAGGTTGAATCGGGCCAAATTCTCTCAAGGACTTGGTAGTGAGGGAGCCTAGAGGAATTGTATACATCGAGAGGTGATCAGAAGAGCACGGAGAACTTTGTTGTAAAGGCGCCCATGCTTTGGTAGGTGAAGACAATCTCAGCTGAAACGGGGAAGGGCATTGTAGGCTGAGAGAGTACAGAGTAAGGCACACAATTGCTTACAGATCCAGCAAACGAGAATGGCAAAGAGGCTTTACGATGCACATTATTTCCTGAAATCCCTGTGAATGCAGGCACTGGAATGTGAGCCTTACCGCTTCAGGGATTTGGGTCAGTTTTATTCATTGCCCTAGCCCTGTCTCCTATAAAGTGCCAGGTAGCACTCTGATAGGTGCTCAGGGAACACTTATTGAATGGATTGGATGGATACTCGTTGCTTCCATTTTACAGTTGAGAAAATGCATGGAGAATTGGATCAAGGCTACACAGAACCAGGATTTTAAGTGAAAGAGCCAATATATTAAGAAAATATGGGGAAATATATTTTGTGATGATAGAGATGAGAAAGGCCCTTTAAAGCATACCATAGAGGCAACCAAGAAAGGCAAAAAAATGATAAATTTGGTTACAAGAATATTTTAGAAGTTAGTTTGCCACAAAAATCATTAACAAGGTTGAAAGAATTAGACCATGTGGCGATATTTAATAGGATTTAAAAATAATGTTGTTGCCCTTGATATGTAAAAAGCACTCATGAATCAATGGAAGGGGAAACACCCCGATAGAAAAATGGACAAATACCGTGAAGAAGCAGTCCACAAAAGTATAAATCAAAATTACCAAATAAAACACAAGTATATATACATATATATTCACTTCACAATAAATAAAAATGTAGGGGCGCCTGGGTGGCTCAGTGGGTTAAGCCGCTGCCTTCGGCTCAGGTCATGATCTCAGGGTCCTGGGATCGAGTCCCGCATCGGGCTCTCTGCTCGGCAGGGAGCCTGCTTCCCTCCCTCTCTCTGCCTGCCTCTCTGTCTACTTGTGATCTCTCTCTGTCAAATAAATAAATAAAATCTTAAAAAAATAATAAAATAAAATAAATAAATAAAAATGTAAATATAAACTGCATGATGCTCTTTTAGATAGAGGCTGACAAAGTACAATGTTAGTCAAGATCGAAGGAAGCAGGTAATCTCATACACTAGTGTAAGACAGTAAATTGCTGTGGTCTTGCTGGAGAGCAATCTAGCAATGTATTCTAAAATGTAAAATGAGTATACTTTTTGATTAAGGATTTTAGCTATTTTAAGAAAATAATCAAACAGTTCTATCAAAATGTCTTTACAAGTAATTCTTAGAATATTCTCTATAACACTATGAAAATTTGGAAAATATTATCTACCCAAAAATGGATTAGTTAAATAAATTATGATATCTATAAGTATATTTCTGTGCAGGTGTTACATAGGATGGCATATAGTAGGGGTTGGCAAACTCCAGCTCACAGGCCAAATCCAGCCCACTGACTGTTTTTGTTAATAAAGTTTTATTGCCACATGGTCACATGAATTAATTGGCATAATTCCGTGACTGCTCTCACATTATGGTGGCAGAGTATTTGCAACAGAAACCAAATGACCCAGAGGCCTAAAATATTTACTATCTGTCCCTTTACATAACTGTTTACTGAGCCCTGGTATGTAGGTATATCCATTAACATGGAAAGCTCTATGTATCATATTATTGAGTCATAAAAGCAGGGTACAAAATTACATGCCTAGTGTGTTTCTGTGGTATAAAATCGTGTGGTAATGGAAAAAAGGCCAAAAGGAAAAGGAACTTAAAAACTTAACGTATTTTTAGGAGAGATACAGATCTCTTTATGTATTATAATTCATACGACACCAAAAAAAGAGTCAGTTTTGCCATATGTTCATGTAAAAAGTAAAATATGTATGGGAAAAACTGGAAGATAGTACACAAAAGCCCCAATATAATTTATTTAGACTGGTGGTATTATGGGCAACTCTATTTGTTTTTCTTCTTTTTCCTATTTTTGTATGAATAGATTATTTTTATAGTTAGAATAATATACCTATAAGCAAACCAATCCAGGAACTCTAAGATCATGGTAGTGTATGAAGTTTGGGAAGGGAACAAGTAAACCCTTCCTACGGCAGTCGTATCTGAAGTCACTGTGCGTTCTGGGTGATCGAGGGCAGCTCAGAATGATGTCCGTGAGTCTGTTCATGAAATACATAAAGCATGCAGTTCACTTTAGAAACTGGAAGTAATAATAGAATTTTTGCTACTTTAAAAGCCTCTTTTATTGGAAAATTTACTTTGGTAAAATTCACCATTCATTTTGCTGCCCAATACACGAGGTTGTGTCATAAGGGCAATTATAACCCTACATAAACACGCATTATCCTATTTATTCTACAAACCCCAGGGAAGCCAAATTGGGTCGTGTACGCTCTTCTGCTTGCAGAGAGGAAACCTAGGTACAGAGACTGGAGTGCAGGCAGCCTGACCATAAAAATTCCATTTGCTTTAACTTTTCTCCCCAGAGGCAGACTATATATATATATTTTTTTTTTTTTTTGTAGCTCGCCAATAATGATATAAAAGGTAATATTATCATATTGTTTTCCCTTGAGAATTTCCTGGGCATAGTTAGAAATGAAATAAATGTTGAATGCCTTGGGAGGAAAAGTATTTGTTTTCCCACTGAAAATTCGCTAGTACTGTGTAATGAAATCCTTTGGTCTGTTTTTTTTGTTGTTGTTTTCTTGTTTTTTGTTTTTTTAGGATTTTATACTGCACATTGATTCTGCCTCTGCACTACCTGGAACCTTTCTTCTCATACATCTTCCTCAACCTCCAGCTCCTGGTCCTGCAAGCCCTTCACCTCTACTGGTGCTACTTCATCCTAAAGATGCTCAGAAGATGTTTATTCATGAAGGTAAGGGCTGTCTGAGCCTCACTGCTCTCAGCAAGTGGACTCTGTTGCCAGATTGAAGGTGATGCCCCGATGACGGAATGCGTTAGTTATTTTGGAGTTAACCAGAATTCCTTTTCTTCCTCTTGATTTGATCATGATTGATAAAAACGTATCTAAAAGGTAGCTTTTTTTTTTTTTTTTTAGGTAGGTCTCTATGGTGCTTTTAAGAAATTGCTTTTGTTAGAGGACCAGTCATTTTTATAAAGCTTTGGTCCAAAAAATGTTGCTTTTTAAAAAAAAATAGATTTTATTTATTTATTAGAGAGAGAGAGTGCAAGAGAGAGAGAGCTGCGGCAGAGGGAGAGGGAGAAGCAGGCTTCCCGCCAAGCAGGGAGCCTGATGCAGGGCTGGATCGCAGGACCCTGGGATCATGACCTGAACAGAAGGCAGATGCTTAACTGACTGAGCCACCCAGGCATCCTGATTGTTGCTTTTTAAAGAATGTCCTAATGAGTCTAAATTTGCTCTGGTTTGGGACGAGCTTTATGGTGATTATAAGTGATTACTGAGTAATACTTCAGAGCCTCCCATTTACCCTCACTGAGCACCCAGTTTGCACATGATGCTCACCCCGACCCTTCTCCTACCATCTGAAATATTGTCTGTCATTTGACTGTGCTTTTTTTCCCTGAAAGCAGCTTCTTCTCTAAATAATAACAAACTAATAATGCCTTTCAGACAATAGGAGCTTTCTGTTTGTTTGTTTTGAATTCTGTTCTGGGTTTTAATTCCAGAACAAGGGTGGGGAGGGCTTCAGAAATGAGTAAGACACAATTCACTGCCTTTGGGGAAACTGACCTGGCATCTAGGGGGAATATTCACCTACTAGCAACTTCCTATAGTGTGCTAAAGAGATATCCCATAAACTTGCTATGGGAGACAGAAACCCGTTGACTCAAGGGCCGGCCAGGGAACGTTATCAAACGGACGGAATTTGACTTGAGCCTTGAAGGCAAGGAAAAGAAAATCACAGTTCCTTGTCAGAAAATCATACTTCCGAGGAAGTTTTATTCAATTTATTTGACAGAGAGATCACAATTAGGCAGAGAGGCAGGCAGAGAGAGAGGAAGGAAAGCAGGCTCCCTGCTGAGAAGAGAGCCCGATGTAGGGCTCGATCCCAGGACCCTGGGATCATGACCTGAGCCGAAGGCAGAGGCTTTAACCCACTGAGCCACCCAGGTGCCCCCTAAGGAAGTTTTAATTAAGGATCTTTCAAGGTGGAAGTTATAGTGGGCCTGTTTTCCAAGGTTACCATCCACGTATAACACAACACGGTATCATCAGAGGGAGTGACTTGTATGTAACAGGTATGGTGGTAATTTACCTGGAAGTTCATGTTCTGATGAAATGGACTGCGTGATAACTGACCTCTGGGTTTCCTACCATCTCCTAGCTTCTAGATCTAGACAGAGGTATAGGGAGTTGGGCTACATCCGGATTAATCTCAAACCAAATTCAAAAAAGTAGTTTTTGTTTGTTTGTTTTACCAAATGACTGACTTGAGCTTGTTTGCTTGAGAGCAGACTCTCTCCCTTAAAAAGTCAGAGTGCCAAGAAGAAACGCTTTCATCGAATGGTTTTAGTTTATTAATATTCTGAATAGTTTTCTCATGACCTCTGCAAAAGTTATTTTACCTCCGAGTGACTGACAAAGTTGAAGGGGGTGTGATAAGGTTAAAAAGTGGAGCAGTTAGACCCTTTGCACATGGGGAGCTTGGAGGGAAGGGCGCTGAACTGAGCTTGTCCCAGCCCTGGGTCAAGCTTCCTGGAGCGCGGGTCTCCCTAGCCGGAAACTGTGCCCTTAATCACTGGTGAGTGACAATAATTACAGGCTGGAAGGGAGCCAGGCTGAACAAAACTCGGAGCCCAGAAGATACTCTTGTTTGGTTTCAGCATTGTGTTCATTTTTCTGATCTCTAATGGGTTGTACCAGGCCTGATTAAAAACCCAGTGGGTCGGGGAGCCGTGAACAGGAATTCCTGATTTCTCATGCTGTACTTTGGAAAAGCTGTTTCTAATTGTGATTTGACAGTGGTGGTGGAGGCCCCCAAAGCCCTAATCCCTGCAGTTCGTATGACTTCAGCTGGCTTGCATGTGCACACTGTTTTCCATAGCGGTGGCAAAACTGGCTGTGAACTTGGCTTCTGCCTCCAAAGCTGTAAAGCTGCCTTTTAAAGAATGCTATTTGAAGGCCCCGTAGCATGTGAAGGGGAGGAGACAGATAAAGGGGGGAGTGGACATTCTTAGAGGAGCAAGGAACAAGTCAGTTTTCAACTCTACTTAATAACTTGTTAGCATTTCATATACATCCCTAGGTCGTTACGAAGGTGACGAATTCTTGGATATTTAGAAAACAGAACTACCAAAGTTCTTAGGCCTCCTAAAATATCTCTCAAATCTTCTAACAGAGAATGGGAATTTGTCTTTTTAAGTTCCTTATGCCTGATAGGCCCTTGATAAGTCCTGTTGAATATGCAAATGAATATGTAATTCAGGGAAACAAATTGCGGGGCGGGGCGGGGGGGTGGTGGAAAGTTACAAAATTGTTTATTAACCTTTTTTTCTGGTCTCCATGGATTTGCCTGGTAGACCGGAAAGACAAAAGTGACTACACATCTTAAAAATAGCGTTTGTTGAAATATCCACATCTTATTTCCCCTCAACAGTGGGGTCACCGCCTGCATATGGCGAATGAGGACCTTCTACCATTTGCTTCTGCTGTCTAATACCTTAAAATAACAATCTCACTATAATTTCAGGGCTCTGACATACACAGACCATGGCCAGCAGGCGCTGAAACCAAGCTGGTTCCTTTCAAATGGGGGATCTTGTGAGGAACTCCCTGCCCACGCATCACTTCTGGAAGTATGATGGGCCAAGATATTTGTGTTGTCATTCTCTCTGCAAACATGAGACGTGCTTTCAGAGGAAATGAGGAGGGCGGCATGCTCTCGTTTAAGATTACTTAAGAGAATGTGATCATCTCTACGCTTTTATTTTCTTCTTCCTAAATATCACACTGGGTGCCGGCCAACTCAAGCATGTCTCTTTGACATCTTGGGCTGGTGAGCAGCCAAGATACGGAGGGTGGGGCTGAGCTGGCCGCCATGACAGCCTAGAGCCAGGACAGAGCAAAGAGCCCCTGGCAACCGGCCCCAGCCATCTGCTCCCAATAGGCAGTGTCTCTTAAGTTCACAGATGACACTGGACACACGCCGGACCCGTTTCGCTCAAGAAAGGCCCCTTCTCATAAATAGGAGAAATCTATGGCCTTGACCAGATTCGCACAGTAAGTTTGTGGCCAAGGCAGGGCTCGAACTCGAGTCTCTTTGCTTGCAGTACTCCGCCTTTTCTAATTCCTGTTGATCTGAAATAATCAGAAAATTAACCGAAACAACTGGCATGGAGTAAGAAAGAGTCCATAAACAACTTGGGTAATCGAGATAGTAGAATGAAACAAGAACAGATTCTTTAGCTTCTTTTGGAACTTTCTGAAAACATAAGAAAACATTTTGGAAATCTTTTTTTTTTTTTTTTCAAGATTGTCTTTATTTATTTGTCAGAGAGAGAGAGAGCATGAGCAGGGAGAACAGCAGGCAGAGGCAGAACCAGGCTCCCTGCTGAGCAAGGAACCCAATGTGGGACTTGATCCCATGATCCTGGGATGGTGACCTGAGCCAAAGGCAGACGCTTAACTGACTAAGCCACCCAGGGGTCCCCGGAATTCTTTTTTTAGTTTCAGGTCACTTCCTAGTAAAGCAAGTCCAGAATAGCTAAGAGTACAGGCTTTCCTGTTTGTTGGCTCTGTGATCTGAGGCTTATTACTTCCATTTACTGCCTCAGTTTCTCCACCTGTAAAATGGGGGTGATGGTGTTAACACCTGCCTTGTAGGATAAAGCCCTCAAAACAGTGCCTGGCACAGAGCAAGAGCATGAAGACGTTGGCTGCCATTACCATTACCATTATTCCTATTAACTCAGGTTCTTTGTGGCAAGTCGCAGGGAGGCTGTGACTTCCAGGTCGCCTGGCAGTTTGCGGTCAGTCAAGCCCTCCCTCCCTCCCCCATGGATAATGCTGCAGCTGAGTCAGGTGTCCGCCCAGGGTGCCCCTGACCGTTTGCTAAGCTGTCTTCAGCCAGTTGACTTGCATGATTCACATTCTGATAATCCTTTTTGACACGTGCTCTCAGAGAGCAGCGTGTTGGTGAAGAAATATAAAATCAGAAACATCCAGCGAAACTCCAGGTCTCTTTTGCTAGTAGTTAATAGTGGATCTAGAAACTGCCCTTTGCTGAACAAGAGACAAAGATATCATAAAGGCTGGCAGTTAAAATAGAGTACTATAAAAATGCTATCGGTTTGGGGCACCTGGTGGCTAGTCAGTTACGTGTATGAATCTTGGTTTCAGCTCATGTCATGAGCTCAGGGTCATGAGACGGAGCTCTGCGTAGGGCTTGTGCTCCGCGAGGAATCTGCTTGTCCTTCCCTCCCCTCTCCCTCCCTCAACTTGCTCACGCATGTGCACACACAACCTCTCAGATAAATAAATAAATAAATAAATAATTTTTAAAAATACTATCAGTTTACACTTCCATATTTCTGAATATTTATATAGGTTAACTGCTTTAACAACCTATTGAAGAAACAACAGTGGAGTTTATAACTTGTAAAAAGTAACCGTGCAAAGCTGCTTGGTTTGAAGAATTCCAGATTTGAATATTCTACCCTGTGCATTTAGCCGAGCCACAGAAGAGACTTTCAGAGCTGGGGGAGCCCACTAAATATCCACCAGGACAGCATGGCCCCCCTCTCCTCAAGGCTCATTTGTGTTATAAAACTATGCTATTTCCAAGGGTGGGGGGTCAGTGAGGAAGTTACGTGACTCACCCAAGGTCACACAGGGGTGGGCTTCATGTCCGCAAAGCCCAAGACTTCACAGCCTATGTTGCTAATGCCGTGGTG